CTCTTACTTATGGGTTTGAATCAATTAATCCTTTGTTGTTATGATTGTGGTACAAAGGATTTAAACAAATAAAACAAATGTTCTCAATAAAGCTGTTTTAAACATCTTTGCTCGATTGATTTCATTAAAGCAACACATCCACAAAGTTTGTGTGAATTGATTAAATAATAAACTGAGTCTGAAACCGTCCGCATTGTCTGTGTAGTTTTGGCTTTCACAATGTGCAGAGAATGTCTTTCTCATTAGATCTTTTAAAAGTTATGTCAACTATATGTGCTAACAGCTTTTGGAGGCAGTCTTGCCGTATTCGTAGGAAAAGGGAGTTGTCCGTTAAAGTCTGTAGCCAAACTGACCTGAATGTTGAGAGCTGGTAACCTGAAGGATGTTGTTCAGGGCCAAAACACACATCGCTGTACTTTCCTTTCCTTTTCTTTTTAATTTGTAGTTGCCTAGATTTTATTAATCACTTTTATATTTTGATGCTTTTGTGGGTATTTCCTTTCCTGACATCCATAATCAGAATGCCACGTTAATTACTACTGCTTTATTTTATTACTGCTACAATCAATGCACCTTTGTTAGAAATAAAAAAAAATATTGTGAGCCTCTTAGGAACCTTTACATAAGCTTTGTGGACTTGGAAAAGCACAGTCAAACTGCAGGTTTATAGGCCGTAGCAGATTTGCAGGGAAAATGTGCCTCACTGTGCCTCTGAGTGGTTCTGATCGGTGTGCTCTCCCTGCATGGCCGTTCTCTGATTTGTGTGTTTCTTAATGGAGATTGAAACAGAATGTATTTCTTTAGACACACACTGAATACTGTGACACATCCACCCAGCCCATGGGAAGCTGCATTAGTGGATGTTGTCACTTTAAGAGTCAATAAGGAAAAATGCAACAGGATCAAACCTATTCTTTGTATAAGCTTATTCTTTCATAATAGCATGCATACTGCTGCTAAGCTGTAGTAATCCGTCCTGGTCTGCAGGCTCTTCTAACTGTATGTATGGGTGTTATATCTCAAACCAGCCCTACAAGTTATACCCCCACCTCTGAGCTGTCCTACACTGCAAAGAATACTATACTCATTGTCAATATGTTTTAATGCTGTTAAAGGCAATTGTGCTTGCTTGCACAGGAGGACCAATCTCATAGCCATGCTAATGGATGAAAAAATCACATCTATCTCATGCTTGGCCAGGCCTGTCAGCCCCTGAAGTGTATTTGGTCTTGTTCCACTCTCTACCTCTCAAATGCCTCGCTGCAGCTTGGGCACAGTTTGAAAACTTTCACAGTAAGGTCTGATGCCATACAGCGCACAGAGACCTTTAGCAAAGAGGTTAGGCATTCCTCTCAGCTTGAGTGTAAAACCTAGCACGGCTCCAGAATAGAGGGAAGAATGCTCCCTCTCTCCCCAGCCTCTTTAATGGACTTTTTGACCCTGAGACATCAGGCATTCCTGCTGATATGGGCGTCAGCCTCCAGTTAAACTTTTGCAGATATGAGTAATGCTTAACCAAACATTTCACTGATATGAAATCTGATTATAAAATTGCACTTGGAAACACAGCAGGCCCACACTGAAGTCAATTTATCTGATAAGACTTTTAACATTCCTGATGTAAAATAGTCAAAAGGTCCAATTGGATCAAGCCTGTAAAGAAGCAGTTTATAAAAAATAGATGTACACTTTTACAGAATCAGATGAATACCAAGTGGGTACCTCTGGTGTTGAATAATGAAGCCAATTCAGAAGTGCAAAAAACTGCAGTACCTCAAGTGTTCACTTGAGGCTGGTTCCAAAGGACGAAGAAGTCCAATACACACCCCTCATTAAATGTCATTTTTTACAGCATAGATAAACATGTTCACAGCCTCCTGGTACAAAATGAACAGTCGGAATGTCTGATGTCTGTGATGGTACACACTGTACAGGGTGTGTATTTTTATTTTTTATAACTTGTTTTGATTTCATTACGAAGACAAAATAAGGGGCATGGCTGATCTGAAGGGCGGGCTTGTTGTAGTTGTTTCCCAGGAGGCTTAAGGCCCTTAGCTCCATCACTTTGCTTGTAGGTTGACCGAAAGTTAGTTGGAGACATGTAGCTGATTGACAAGTGGAGTGTGGGAAACAGTTTCAACAATCGAGTATCAAAACAACTCTGCCTTTCATGTTCTCATCCTTTAGTTTCATTTAATGAACTGAAATGTCCTGACCTAAGTCAAGTATTTCATGACATCAGTGAGTAACATCTTCTTTTTCTCTGGGATCTGAGTCTGCTAGCTTCAGGCTAGCCGAAGATGGCAAACAACCAAGACAGAGACAAAATAGGCAAATGACTGTTGGCAACTTGGCACCGCTTCCTCTCATACTCCTTTGAGCGACAGCGTGCAGACAGCAGACCTATTCATGCTGTAGATAATAGCTTAAGTACTACTCAGTATCAGATTTCTTGATTTTCTTGTTTGTCTTCCCCTACACCCTGTATCTGTTTAATCCATCTTTAACCACAATTTCCTCACAGTCAATTGATTTATGATGACAGTTTATTATAATGCCTAGAGGAACCGGGGCTAATTGAAGCTAATCAAATGGCTCATACCTCCAGGTAGTGGTTTAAAAATCAACAACAAAGTATAAATTTTATTACTAACATGTCTATTAAGATTAAAGGAAACTAGCCGCCCTGATGCCTCTAAAAAGTTCACCACGCGCTCCTTTAATTATGAGCTTCAGCTTCTGTTTGACCACAACATACTTACTTGACAATAAATAGATTGAGATGATGATATTTAGCTGCTGCCAAATAGTGCTAATGAGTTATTGTATGCTTCTGTACCTTTAAATGTGGGTTCATGTCCCTCTGGCGTGTTTTGCATTTGTCTTTTCAGATGCTAATCTATATGGTAAAGTGATAATTGTCAGACTCCTTATGACTATATAATAAAACCCAAAATGACCATGACATCAGAGGAAAGTGGGTATCTGTTTGGTAAATACTTCCTATCTTCCCAGTATATCATTTCGTACAGAAGAGGATTGATGCCACTGAAATTAAACGTTCTGACTCTTGAAGTTATTTTCAGTCGACTGTTGCGCACGAAAGGCAACAATGTGACAACACTGCATGAGGAAAAATGCTTTTCACTGATTGGTCACATGAAGTTAAACGTAATTTCTCTGACAATCTTTAGGAAGTTTGCATGTTAAGCTCGACTACTTAAAATGAACCCAATGTGCCTGTGGTGAAACCAAACAATGACACAATGTGAGCTATAAATTATCTACTTTCAGGGTACATTTCAGTGTGGACTTTGCACAGAAACTTACAACAGAACTTACACATACAGTAAGTGGTGCAACAGGCCAAAGAATTCCGACTTTAAATGCAGAATTCCTAAAGGAGAAAAGAAGTCTGAACTACAAAAAAACTGTGGCCCTAATCCTCTTCTGCACTGTTAAATGAATTCCAATGGAATTTGTTGTGCCCCCCATACTGGTTACGATTTAAGAAGGATTTATTCTGTCTTAATGAAGATTCCTGTCCGTGTAGATGTCCTTTTGCATTTTCACGTTTCTTTTTTCTGAACAATCATGTGAAAGTGATAAAAAAAGGGACACATAATGCTCTAAACTTGGGAAAATACATGCATGAAAAATATATACGAATACAGTTAATCCATCAAAGTTTGGCTTATTTCTGCTCGTAAGAAGAAGTTCAACTTCTTTGCACAGTTCGCTCTTAATGAACCAAAATAGTTAAACAGGGATTTGTTCTGGTGTTAGGGTAATATCTTTTTATGACCTCTGCTCATGATTTTTTCTTTTCATGGTCTTTAACAAGCTCAAGTGGAAAGGCTTTGTCATAAACTATCATAATAACAGTGTGGAGGAGACATTGCTGTGCAAGATGTCCGTCCAAATATGGGTGAGTAAAGCTTCTTTGAGGGGACTGGATCGTGAAATTTGATCCCCTCTATAATCGCTCTTCTCCAAAACTAACATTACACCATCATTTGAGAATGATGAACTCTTAACAGGATTTCACTGTCATTTTGAAGCTGTAGCTTCAGCTGAAGCTGCTGACCTGTACAGAGTGCAACAGCTCTCTCTCTCTCTCTCTCTCTCTCTCTCTCTGCATCTCTATCTCCCACACACTCCTGCTACTTTCACACGAATCATGCATTGGGTCACCAGCATGAGGGAGAAAGAGGAGCTCCACCCTTTATGACACTTAATCATAAGTGTTCATTGGACGTTTGCCATCAATCTAGATGAGGTCAAAATGCGACCTGATAGCATCTGTTTCCACAATGACTCTCTTTGTTCAGTTAGTCAGTGTTTGCATACCCACTCAGTATTTCTACCCTGAGCCGTGTGTTTCTTATTACTAGGTGACAGGGGCTAGACAGGCTTCATGTAGCACTGTGTTGAAAGCCTCAAGGGCAAAGATTAGTCAACCATTTGGGTGTGTCTTGTTTGAGAAAACCTCTATGGTCATTCACTTTATGTGTTCACAGAACTTGCACTTTCCTTCAAGTTTTCTCGCTTTGTTTGAGTTCTATGAGCATGAAGTTTAACGTAGCTTTCAGAGGCGCTCTTACTCCTAAAGCTTTCCATGCTGGGCCTGTTAACCATTGTTCACCCTTTCCTGACAACAGCCCTGTTATGTAACACAGATTTCCGTCACTCTGCGTCCCACCTCCCAAAATGTAATGCAGTTGCCATGACGATTGTATAAACAGAGGGGATGTTATTGAAAAAGATTTAGACCCTCTGTTTTTTTCTGCTAGACCAGTAAAGTAACAGAGTAACACAAGTTTTATTCACCAGCCTTTTTATTTTTCAGACAGGTCAAACACGCACACACACACAGAATGTCAGACATTTCTTCTTCATTGCAAATGCTGTTTCTTACTTTACTTCAAACAGGCTTCACTTTCAACTTGTCTCAGTCTTTTCAGTACAGTTTCAGTCATCTCTTGTAACAGCTTTTCTTCATCAAAATGTGTGTGTGTGTGTGTGTGTGTGTGTGTGTGTGTGCGCGTGTGTGTCTGAGAACAGCTTGTCCTGCCAGCTGGAACTCCTAGCTTGAGCTGCGCACAGTGGTTGTGACTGTGGTTTTTGAGCCCCCTGTTAAAAAACAGAGAAACAAACCATGATGGGAATGCTTTAAGCCTTCATTACACTGACTGCACTGTTGTTATGTCATGTTATGTTATGTCAAAAATGATGTGACTTACCTCCACCAATTGGTCTGGAATAGGGAGAAAGAAGAGAAATGAAGAGGACAATAAGTCATGTGGGCTTTATCTTTAAAATACATTTGTGCATTTTTGGTCTAAATGGTCATAAAGTCCATGCTCCTGTATGAGTGTGATTACCTGGACTCCTCTGTGTCCAGCAGCCTCCTGTAGGTTGCGATCTCCTGCTCCAGCCTGGTCTTGATGTCCAGCAGCATCCTGTAGTCCTGGCCCTGTTGCTCGATGCTTGCACGCACGTTGGCGAGTTCTGATTCAAGCATGTTAATTGTGTTTTGGTAACCGGATAGCATAGCGCCGTAACGAGCATCTGTCTCTGCCAGTGTGTTCTCCAGAGCCCCTTTCTGTTTCAGAGTGGAATAAAATGGAGCACAAGTTGTTGCAAAGTACATACTGAGCTGTTCATTATTGCAAACAAGCTGACTTCGGACAATTAAAAGCTATAGTCTGCAACCACCAACCACACCCTGGATTATTTTGATCAAACATAAAGAATGTCTGTGTTTGTACAGCATTGTCCTCTCCTTTTTAGAGGAATAATAGGCAGAGGTGTATGTATAGGATTTTTAATCCATGTGTGTTTTAGCAGCAGATCAGAGTGCAGGTCTTACAGGGAGTGTAAATGATTTTCTACAGCTGGGCACAGATAATACAGGGTGGGCCATCCAGTTTTGCATTCCTTCAGCTTTCTTCAAGCTCTCTTTTATGATTTCCAGAGTTAGAGCAGATGTCTGTGAAAAGTTTTCTTCAGCAGCAGCCCTTCCCTCCCGTCACCACAGCTCCAAACACTCCTATCTTTCTCTCCCTCTGTTCTTTCAGTAAAGCCCCCTTCTCATACCCTCCCTTTTGCTCTTTTGCCCTCTATCGCTGTCTGTTTCTCCAGTTCCCCTGACAAGACAGGGATCCAGGAATTTTGCACATATAAGGCAAGATCAGTGAGATGTGAACAGATGGTTGGGGTTTTAGGTTTTTTTTTCTCACCATGCTGAGCTGAGACTGCAGCTCAATCTCCAGGCCTTGTAGTGTGCGCCTCAGGTCGTTGATCTCTGTCTTGGACGTCTGGATTACCTCTGTGCTGATGGCGACCTCCTTGCTCAAAACTGCCGACTAGAGCAAGAAAAAAAGGTTGGGAAAGAAGTAGGAAGAAGTCATAGTCATTGCTCAACTCAGTTTCACATGAGATTATGTTTAATTACAAGGTAGATTCTTGAGGGAGTAAACAGTCATTTGCAACGTGTGGGATACAGTGCCTCTGTTTACCTTATCATTAAACCAGGCCTCCTGGTCGCGACGGTGTTTGTCAGTGATGGACTCATACTGGGCGCGGATCTCTTCCAAGACTTTGTTCAGGTCCTGCTGGGGTGCAGCGTCCACCTCCACATTGACTGTGCCAGTAAGCTGAGAGCGCAGGGCTGCCAGCTCCTATATGCAACGAGTTGGAAAAGATCATTGTTAAGAAACCTGCAGAGTTTCAAACCGTTCAACATTCTGTTGTTGTCATAATGAACAGTAATCATTAAAGCGAGAGGATGTGCGTCTGTCACCTCTGCGTGATTCTTCTTGAGGTAGGCCAGCTCATCTTGCAGGCCCTCGATCTGCATCTCCAGGTCGGCCTTGGTCAAAGTGGTCTGATCCAGGAGACGGCGCAAGTTGGCAATGTCAGCCTCAACTGACTGCGCATCATCAGCTCATGATCGAATCTATTAAGTTTGGAGAGTTGAGAACACTGATATGAGACATCTATAACTCCTCGCAGACTTATTTGACTGTAACAAGGAGTAGGGGCAACATTAGTATGAAGACTCTAGCTCACTTGATTTTGAAGTCATCAGCAGCCAGTTTGGAGTTGTCAATCTGGAGGAGGATGTTGGCATTGCCGATGGTGGCGGCGGCAATCTTTAGAGAAGAAGAACAACTTAATTGGTCAGTATGTAAAAGTATGATTCACACACAATATATATGTTACCATGCAATGCTCTTCAGCAGCATCAAAAACCTCATACTTCCTAAACTACAGCTATTAGTCAGTTAACATGCACAGAATCCCCCTACAAACTTATAGTTTCTTGCTTCTTTTGAGCTTTTACAATCATCATTACTAGTCCATCATACGACTAAGGATTCAGTGACACAGTGGAGCATGCAGACAGTAGTGCCTGTGACGTTATAAACTTTTAACAACCTCCTTTGGTAATCATTAACAGAACAGCAAACAGTTGACTTGTCAGGTGTTCAAACAGTCGAGGCTGGCACACTATACCTTGTCCTTCAGGTCATTGATGATGGCCCAGTATTTGCTGTAGTCCCTCTCAGCTGCCGGGCCCTTCTGCTCATAGTACTCTCTGATCTGCACCTCCAGCTTGGAGTTGGCCGACTCTAGAGAGCGGACCTTGTCAAGATAGGAGGCCAGACGATCGTTCAGGTTCTGCATGGTGGCCTTCTCATTCATGTTGACGTTGCTCTGGTCCAGGGCGTTGGACAGGTCAAACCCGCCGCTGCCGAACCCCATGCCACCTCCAAACCCCATGCCACCTCCAAACCCAGAGGAGACAGTGCGCGCTTGGCTAGAGGAGATGCGCTGGCCCTGTCTGCTGAAACTGAGTCCAGACACGCTGTGGGCCTTGTGGGGTGCAGCGCTGGATGTGTAGCTGCGGCTCTGCCTGGTAATCATTGGACCGCTGGAGATGCTCTGGCTGTGAAACATGATGCCTGACTGCTGGTGAAGAGAGGACACGAGGAGAGAGGACCGTTATACAGCTGTGGACTGTAGAAGGACTGTGGAGTTTGATAGAGGGAGGCTGGTTGTTGATATAGTGCTGGACCTAGGGCGGGCGTGGCTGAGAGGAGGGAGGAGGAAGTGAGGGAGGGAGTTCTCTTTTACAATCCAGCAACAGGCTTGGCAGAACCTACATTTGTTTTCCTTTAAGGACCAGAGTTAGGTTTCTTTCCACTCCTGTGAGGGAACTGTTATGGAATGTGTGTGTCAGTGTGTTTCTTCATGTGTAATGGGTTCTGGAGGTCCCTGGCCTCTCGCTGAGCAAATGTGCATTTCTGTGCTTGTGCGTCCTTCTGTGCTTGTGTGTATCTTCTGTGCTTTCATAAATACCTGAAAGTCTAGTCTAGATCTCACCAGACAATTTTTATCCTAATGTAAATATAGGAGGCGTAGTTATTGTTGCAGTGTCCCGCCATGTGTCAACATTCACATTGAGCTCTCTGGAAATAATATGGCCATTTCACCAGAGCTGTTTTTGAGAAATTCCCTATTATTATTACATTATTATTAATTTCACATTCCTCTTATGCTTAAAGTAAAACAAACTTGTTTTCTGAATGTTTTTTATGAAAAATAAATGTTTGGACCATTATATATTTAGAGTAGTTTATTTGACAACAGACACAAGGCAGTGATATATTGACAATTAAAAAACATTTGTTGTTTAATATAATGGGCAAAGGACTTTGTGGACCAACTACTTTATTAATCTGTGGTTGATAGTATTGATTGGCAGCTGCGTGTAGACCTTGAACCACAAACCTACATTGTTTTCAATGTTTTAAGTTGAAGGAAATTTCTCACAGCCCATTGTTCCCAGTATCACACTCCATATCCCCCTTTAGTCTTGTATCCTGTGTGTGTGTGTTCGCGTGTGTGTATGTGCGTGCTTCCATGTAGTCTGAGTTCATTTTGTTGGTTTTGGCCTGTGTTGTGGGCCTGTTCTTAAGAGTTTCTCTGTTCGTGTGTGTGGCAAATGTGTGGGATGATGGTTGTGCAGGCATGTGTGTTTCTGTGTGTGTGTGTGTGTCCTTATCTCAATGTTGGGCTCTGGCCAGTTTCCGTGCGCTCGTGACATCTGCCCTCAGCTGGGGGGAGGCAAGGAGGCACATCTGGGTCACCCCCTAGTTGGAGGGAGTGAATCATGCTTCTTATGTTCTCTGTGTGTGTGTGTGTGTGTGTGTGTGTGTGTGTGTGTGTGTGTGTGTGTGTGTGTGTGTGTGTGTGTATGTACTTACATCATTACATAATCTACCAAAAGAAATGAGAATTCTGACCACAGACTCTTGTGGACAAGGTACAGAGCTGTTTCTGTATGGTGAAGTGTTTTGACATTTAGTTTACTGAACCATACTGATTAACTTTAGAGATTTTCAGGCTGCTACCTCCTGAACGCTGCGTGAGCTGTTTCTGCTGTTTCACCATATCAATTAATCAATCAGTCTTTATTTGTATAGGGCTAAATCACAACAAATGTTATCTCAAGACACTTTACCAGAGAGCCGGTAAAAGACCTTACTCTTTGTTGTATGATGTCACATAAGAGCCAGTAAAATGTTTTACTCTTTGTTGGGCTTTCCCACTTGCAGAAATCTCCTGAAAAACTCAGGATATTTCCTGGAGGAGCTGTATATGTGGACGCCAACACCCAAATTTTTCAGACTCAGACTTCACCCGGAGTTTCTCCTGCCAGACCCCTAGTATTTTTTCCGCAGCAAGTCCAAGTGGGCTGATGTGAGAACGCTGCAGGATATTCCCCAGAGAATTCAGCTCGAGCCACTATGAGGGAGAGTGACGTTTATATTCTGTGACTGCTGCACGGTGTAAAGATTGTCTTCACACGACCACTACGATCTCAGTTCACGTTATTAAATGTCTGCATTGCGTTTTCTGTTCGCCAGTATGTTGTTCTCCGCTCGTTTGTTGATGTTGTCATTCCGTTGGACTACATGTTTTTTATATGTTCCATGTTACGGACTGGCATGTAAATTTGGGCTAGTGAATATCTGGTAGGAAATTGCTCCTTGTGGCAACCCCATACGCGATAACATGCATGCTTTTTACATACAGTTTGTACAACAGCTAATGTTAGCTTTCAGTCAAGCCACATTCTAGGCTTTTTGTGTTGCTGTAATTAATGATGGTAAGGAATGGTCAAAATGCTTAAATAATTTTTTACAGTGTTGAACAAAACGTATCACGTATAGGCCTACATTACTAGCTAACAGTCAGAAAGGAATTGGTTGTCTAGTTCATGTTTGATCATAGCTAATGAGCTATAATATATGTTTTACAAATGTATTGAGGTGTGTTGAGGCTTTTCCTTGCTATCATATCACACTTGCAAAGCTAATGTCTGATAATGTTTTATTTCATACTGATTTCATACAATTTTTAATGAGTTTTATATTTTATTTTGTAGGCTATTTATTGCAATGGCATTTAAGACTGACTTTGATAGAATTGATCATTCTTTCAACACTGGGAACTGATCTGGCTCTACAGTGTAGGTAAAATTCTGTTATTAAAGTTTTTAATAAAATACTTCTGTACATCTAAGATGGGGTGATGGGTCCTGACAGTAAAACAAGTTGGGAACCATTGATCTAAAGCCCCATTTCCACAAGAACGATTACAGCTGTACATGACAGCTGCGTTCTGGGTGGCTGAAAACACTACATTTTGAAAACAGGTTGCATTTTGCAAACTTTTGCACAGTCTCCATCATCCTGTTAACTGGCAAAATGAAGAACCTCTGAACACGGATACTTTTTGCACATGCTCATTACAGTTCTAGTCAATAGCCATACGAGAGTAGGTTGACGACAACAGTTCAGACTACTGGATTCTGTTTGTGCTTCTCACCCAATCGAATTTAACAACACTTCTCTAGCAAAGTGTAGATTTGTTGCATGGTCAGCCATGATGAACGGCCATATGCCAATACTGACCCAAGTAGGCTATAGACTACTACACTATTTTTGGCTCATTCCTTTCGTATTATTGTCGACCCTCACTGATCTTTGTTAAATTAGCTTTTTTGGTTTGGGGAGTTGAAACAATCTAAACATATGGGTGTCCTAGGTTGCTCTTGTCTTTATTGGAGGTACAAACAAGTCAAGTCAAGTTTATTTGTTTATCCCTTAACGGCTGTTATGTATTCTCAGTGGGCCTGTCAGCACACTCACATAATAACAACAGAGGCTGAAATATGCCTCCTCCAAACTAAGACCCTTTCTGAGAACAAGAAAAATCTCCCACTCAGAGCTAGAGGAACAAACCCTGGGAGGTGCTGCTTAGTGTCTGATGTGTGCAGAAAGGTTCTGGGTAATCTAGATGTTAAAATACAGGTAAGTTAACTGTGTGTCATGCAATACAGAAGGACTGCTCAGGTGCTGATTAAAAGCACAATCCAATCATTGATTCACTGGATTCATTGCCATTTTAAGGAACCTTTCTCAGTTGAGACCTCCTTACACTGCAACTGAAAAAGTAGCTAATTGGCACAGGCACAGAGAAACAGGAAATAACCTTGATGGTAAGCCTGTTTGCTGAAACAAAGCTATGTATACAGTAGGAAAACATTAAATGACTACATCACATAAGCTTTATATCAAAGGGGATTAGTTCATGTCTACATGCCCTAGAGCCCATTGTGGGAGTTTTCACTCAAACCAGCATGAGTCATGCACATGCAGCCTGAAATCTCTTCTACAATCTTACAAAACAAAAGTCCCTTTTTCATCTTTCTTATTTTCAGTGTCAATGCATCTTGTTCTGTACTGACATGGGGAATAAATGAGACATGTCATGACTGTTTTTGAAGAGTCTCATGAAAGCTCAAACCCATGTTAATGTTCTGTAAGATATGAAGCTCAGCAGGTTTTTATTTGAAGTGATTATTTCCTTAAACAGATAGTCCCAGGAAGACAAACAGCAAACCTTTGAAGAAACCTTAATCCTATCAACGTGTCCTTTGTTGGACTCTTCTACACAGTAGGAGCACTAATGATCAATCAACTCTTAAGATTAGACGCATCTTTTTTTTTTTATCTTCCATTGTGTTTATTGATTTATTGTTTCATCATGTAGAGGCTTGATATCATATCAGTGGCTCTGCACTTCTATGACATTTAAACTCCTGATTAGATAGTTCTTGATTATAACTCTGTCAAATTAGTGATTTATATTTGTTTTGGGCTAGCAGACTGGCACCGTTTAGTAGTCTGATGCTAAACTTTTACAGGGGTATAAACTCCAGCAGTAACATTTTAATATGTCATCCATTATGACCTGAGTTTCCTTCTTTACCTCTAAAGAACAGAGGACTGGTTCTATTCAATGCAAAAATACATAACCGGAAGTCTGCTCTGTTTCTTCAATTAAGCCTTTCATCTTAAAGTAACCATAGTCCCAAAACAGCGTCAAAATAATCCACTGTTTGTTTGCTGCATGGCAACAAAAAGGATATCAGAGTGTAGATGTCACTACTCATGCTTGAATCTGGTCTATTGTCTTGAGGTCTGGATGGTCTGGATTCCTGCACCTGATTACAGTCGAGTACGGTTTCTTTGCTATTTGGTTTCTTTGTGCAGTGGGAATTGAAGGTAGCCGGCATTCTCACATCTATGCAAACTGGTATACTTCCCCTGTGAAAAGTGATTACATCCTGTCATGGCAAGATGCACATCATCAGATCTCTGTTCATTGTTTTGGTTTCATTTGTTATTGTTCACTGCTGCTGGAACATGTGGCTCTCATGCTTCTGCCAACAATATCAAAGTAATGAGCTTGGTAGCCATGGTAGCAGTGTGGGGGTTTAGGGTTCAAAATCGGTTAGATCAGTCCTCTACTTTAATCAAGACTGTTTTTATCAAAAACTATCAAGGTTGACACAATTTTAATGAGTTTTAACTACTTCTTTCCCCTTTCCCTTCCAGCACCCTCATCAGGTCTACATTCAATGTGTTAAATACTTCTTTATGACTAAATTCATGTAAACAAATTAATTACAA